ACACCCACTCACTTGTCTTAACTGTGATTCTTCTCGAAGCTGTCTGTGTGCTTCATTATACATTTCATCCAGGCTTTGTCGGGAATGTTTATATGTCTGAAGTTCTGCTTCGGCATCTACTTTATTCATCTACAAAGAAAATAAGGAAAATTATTGTACTTAAAAAACTTTGGTATTCAGAAAGAGACCTCTTCCTAGAGCAGGTATACCCAACCTTGACCACTTAAGATTTGTGGACTTTCAGTTCCCAGAATTCCCAGTTTCCATCCGTTGCTTCTCGTCCTGCCTTCAAGTGCTTTGGAGAATAGCTTGACTCCCTCTTCTTTCTGGCAGCCCCTGAGATATTGGAACACTGCTATCATGTCCCCACTCGTCCTTCTCTTCATTAGACTAGACATTCCCAATTCCAGCAACCGTTCCCCAATTGCCCATTTTAATTTTTTTACTGACTCCAATTATACCTCACTGGAATGGCCACAGGATGTGTTTCCTATGGCCTGCTGTTCTGGTCTTGGAATAAGCCATTTGTTAATTGACCCTCTAAGTCAGTGGTTCTCAACCTTTTTAATGCCGCGACCCACAACCGGTCATAAGTCGAGGACTAAACCGGTCGTAAGTCAAGGACTACCCAACCGGTCGTAAGTCGAGGACTTTCCCTGCCAGGGAGCGCTGCGCATGCGTGGTTCCGCCCCCTGCGCCGACCGAGGCGTAGCTGGCAAGCAGCAGAGACGGAGCAGGCCGACCACCAGCTGGCCCAGCTCAAGGGAGGTAAAGCACCCGCCGGAAAAGGGGGAAAAAATGGCGGACAGCCTTGCTTGGCGACCCCCGTGAAATGGTCGATCGACCCCAAATGGGGTCGCGACCCATAGGTTGAGAACCGCTGCTCTAAGTTACCAGGTGGTATTCCCACTTCACTGTCTTTTGCCTCATGTCGGTTTTACTTCCCTGTCCTACTTCGTAAGGTCTATTTTTATCCCGTTTCAGCTGCTTCACCATTTTTAAGTTCTTCTCTTTGAACTCAATCATCATCCTGCTGACTTCTGCAATTTTAAAACGCTCCCTCTCTGAATATTTTGCAGATGGTTACTTTGTCTTTCTAGACGTTTTTCTACCCTGCCTACAAAATCTTTCTAACCTTACAAGATTAATGTTAGCTGAGAGAAAAAAAAATGTTGTTCCCCTATGTCCTGACTTATCTTGACAAGGGAATGTAAATATTATTTTGCAATGAGTTTAGCATAAATTAAATGACCCTTCATGGCATAGTATATTTACAAGTGATCTTCCAAAAATATCCCCCTTAAGCTGTTAGCTAGCTTCTTGAAATATATAAAATGCTTAAATATTACATATTTTTATAGAAAATTACATTGAAAATGGCAAATTTTGACATACAAATCATAAATTATTTTAAAATATCATACCTCCAGATGATGCTGTGTGTTCATTAAAATGAGTGTGTTTTCACTTCTTAAATGATGGTTTTCTTCTTGTAGTTTTATTATGTTGTTTTTAGCTATCGCCAACTAAGAGAAAGATAGAATGTAAAAATAAAAAAATCCAAAAGCTTTCAGACAGGAAATAAACAACTCTAGACCCAAAATGCTGCATGAAAACGTTACTGTCTTCTAATCACATCACTGCACTAATCCAACATACTGATTCTAGGGCTTATTCATTCAACCTTTTCTATTGCCAACAAACAAGGATTCATGGTAGTTGACGGGAAGCGGAAATCCAAAATTTGCAACTGAAGATATTAATCCAACATTAACAATGGCTAAGGAATGCTTAATATGCAGAGCGCCATGAGTCTGGGCACTTGTAAAAGGCCGTCTACCA